TGGTTCTTTCTAATTTATTGTATGTATTGACCTTGCACCGGAATTCTAAAAAGCATACGTGGGGCTTTTTGGGTTAAACATTTAATGATCAGAATTTAAATGGGAAGTAAGATCAGTCTAATTGGTTCCATGTTTTAGAACGGCAATCTTCTCATAAACTGATTTGCTAGGACAGAAAACACCCCATCTCCAATCTATTACTTGACATATGATCTACAGTATTTGCACATGTTGCAGTTTATCATTTTGCCCCTACCCCCATGTTACTGCCTCCTTGACATTTGAATATTAATGAATTTTAACTGTGACAAAAATAGATTGCAAACTAATTCTCAACGATTATCAGTGGTCCAAGATTGTGGGCTTAAATGCTTGTTTTATTCCAATGATATATCAAGACGATATGGACTGTTGATGGCCTTTTGGAGTGGTTCGTGAACTATTGCAGAAACTATAATATAAGTAAGACAAAAGAAAATACCAGTGAAATAACACAGATTGTCAGCTAAAAACATAACCTGGTATTCTCAAAAATATCATAATTCCTTGCCTTATTTAATGGATTGTTTTTCTTCAGCAGACTTGTTCGATTTACACAAAAGCAAAAACTACAATTTAGTTAACGTAGGAGTTAACAGATGATGCATTGAAAAGATTCATTTGAAATCATTCCTCTTCCTATGTCTCAACCACATAAAATCCTTGTGTGTCCGGTGACGTGTTGGTATGATGTAACCCGCCTCTGCATGTGCAATAGAAGCCACCTGCACATTTACATTACAGCATTTAATTCTCTTGTGAAATAATGCACGTTGACTGTAGTGGTTTTGATGTCATGACTCTATATATGTGCTGTCCTCTGGTTTTCTGTTACATTTATTTTTTTAGTGATCTGGAAAAAATTGAGGTTCTATCTGGCACCCATTTCCTGTCCCCTCTGGTATTTTAAATCATTCAAAACAGTTTTACAGAAAACCAAAGGCTGACACATATAGCTCATAGCTGCTCAACTGCAGCAGTGGTTATGGTTTTAGTCAATACTGTACATCAATTCTTGGCGATTCCCTTTCCAGCTGTGCAAAATAAACTTTTCTCTCATTTTTATTTTGTAATCTCTCCCTTTCCTGTTCCCAAATTGTTGAACTTCACCTGTTGCCAATATTTGTATTAAAACACTGATTTGAACTTCTTTTTCATGTTTCTTATTTAAGACGTTTTTTGCTATATTTCCCTTGTTGTTGCTAAGAAACAAATTTAAATGGCTTCTTTGGAAAATCTACCCTAGGAAGCATTATTTAGGTCATGTAACTGCTCAGTGCTCTGTATCTGTAGCAACACCTGTTGCGTTCGTTGCTGCAGGAAAAAGTAAGACGACGAGAGACTGCTAGAAGCTTGCCAATTACTAAGGGAAGCCGTATCCTTGTTATGGAGAGATATATAGAACTGTCTGGATCACTTTCAATAAGCTTGGTGTGTATTGTGTGACAGCCAACAAATGTACGATAAACGTTTATTTAAGTACTTTTTCACGGAACAAAACCTTCTTAAACGTGAAGCAATACTTTTTTTTTTTTTAATCATGGCCAACATTTCTGAATTTCATAGTGTGCTTTAGAAAATGTGATTACATTTGTAATACGTGTTACCTAATCTCCCGTCTCTCCAGGATCAAAATACAAATATCTGTATTAATGGTAAAGTTTATTGGGCAACAGTTCAGAAGTATGCTTGATGAGCCTTGAACAAAATAATGTGCGGCAGACGTCATTGCTTAGTTTGAAAACATCTTCAACGACACAACTCAATCTCAAGATAATTATTACCATGTATGTTTCCTGATCGTATATTTTCTTTCATTTCAAAAACTTCATTTCCATTAGCAGCCAAGTCCTTTACAATTTTAATTTTTTGACTTTCAAATAAACTGTTAATTAATGTCCATGCCAAAAGAATATAATAAACAAGATTGCTTTAAAATGATCAAAAATGGTTCCGTAATAAGGATATGTTTAATTCAGGCTGTGCATGTCAAACCATGACCGTAATGAACATACAGTAGTAGAAACTCTAGCACCAATCCTATAAAACATGGCATCTGCTTAGCAATTCATTGCAGCGCAACATCTGGGGTTGTTTGGACTCCATCCATAGATGCCAATAATGAATTAAGTTATATCTGTTTTAATTTTTCTGCTCAAGTACAATATTATATATTTTTTTATTGTTACGATAATTCTTAATTTTTTTTCTTTTTCTTCTGATGCGGTGTTATGCTCCTGCAAATTTCTCTGAAAGTATACAATAAAAAGGTTTTATAAACATGTTGATGTGTAATGAAATAATTAAAGACATGTGACATAAAATGCCCAAGGCTCATTGATGCACGTGGGGAGTGAAGGTTAGCCTGTCTGTTATGTTCATACAGAAGAGCTACTGTTGCTGAAAAATGGAATGCTTACCATCATAGAAAGATGTCAGAACACACAGTGCATCACAGTTTGCTGCCTATGGGACTGCAAAGCCGCAAAACTGGTCTGAGTGCCCATGATGACACCTGCGAACCGCTGAATGCACCTTCAATGGGGACATGAGCATCAGAACTGGACCATGGAGCAATGCCTGGTCTGATGAATCATGTTTTCTTTTAGATCGGGTGGATGGCCGGCTCAGTGTACGTCATTTACCTGAAGAAGAGATGGCAGCAGGATGCACTATGGGAAGATGGCAGGCTGGCGGAGGCAGTGTTATACTCTGGGCAATGTTCTTCTAGGGAACCTTGGGTCCTGGCATTCATGTGAATGTTACTTTGACACGTACCACCTACCTAGAGATTTGTGCAGATCATGTACAACCCTTCATGGCAATAGTGTTAACTTATGACAGAGGCCTCTTTTAGCAGGATAATGCACTCTGCCACACGTAAAACATTGTTCAGGAAGGGTTTGAAGTTCTACTTGAAATTAGTGAGTGAAGATTCAAATTTTATCAATTTAACTTAATGTTTATATTGTCCTGCTTTTCCCTTCCATAAAGTCATGCAGTTACTGTTATAATAAATTAGAGTTACATTAATCTAGCATTGAATGTGGAACCATTACAAATGATGCATATTAAAGACCAAGGAATTATATTCTAAGTTCATCTTCTACAGAGAATGAGGGGTTGGGGTTTTCTGCTCTTTGCCCTAACTTTAAAACTATCCGTACCATCACTCTTCATCATCATATTTTTTAAATCTTTATACTTACATTAGGTAAAGACTGACATGTCTGGGTCAATTCCCAAGACAAGACAGTTGTGTATATTGTAATAAGATTTATAACATTGTAAGCCATCACCCCCATCCCATCCCCCCCCCCCCCCCATAAAAATCTATATTAGAAGAAGGGGTCTACATTTAGGGAGAAAATGAATTTAAAGTTTGACAATCTTTGAGAAACCTGAAGGACTGCTGTTTAGATTATTGTAATGAACTTGGAGAACCAAAATGGACAATTTAAACTAATGGTATTGGTGTATTTATGCAATCATACTTTTTATATTTCCAATCTCTACTTTTTACGGTACTGGAAACATGTTTAATAAAGGTTCTGCATTAAAGGACACTTGCCTCTCCCGTCTTTCCCTTTTTTGGGACAGGGGGACCTAGTGTTCCGGCGGCCCACCCACCTTCCCGCACCCTCCCCCCCTCTGCCCAGCATCTCCCCCATCGCTCCTTTTTCCTCTCTTTTCTTTTTCATCTTTCTCTCTTCAACTATCTTCTCTTTCAATTTTCTAAACTCTCAAAAAACAAGAGCCAGGCATCATTCAATTCACTTAACCCGACAAGGTCTAGCAACTGAGAGAAGTACTCTGCTGCAAACACGACAAAATTAATCTCAACCAACATGCACTAAGAGTCCCAATACAAGTCACTCGAGTGACTGGATGCGCAGGGCTAAAGCGACCTTTATAACAACTTCAAGAAGTTGGTACAGAAACTAATCATCTTAACCAATATTACCTCTGTATTAAACTCGATACTCATGATGTGGTTTATATGCTCCTGCCTTGCGTAAACTGATGTTTCTGTGTCTTTACAATTGTACTGCTGCCCTTGTGCATCTTTCTTCATGTAGACGAATGACAAGCTGTACTATATCTCTGCCTGTGCTCCTAAATAAAGAATAAAAAAATAAAAAATAAATAAAGGTTCTGCGTGATTCAATATGAGCTTCTGATTCCAGTTTTCATCCCTATCAGCATTCACAAATCAAACACCACATGTATCAAAACACTACCTGATCAACCTAAATAGCATTCTAAAGGTGTCCTAGAATTTCTGGAACACACTTTAAAAATTTGTCATGTATAGCTCGCTATAGCCCTGATAGAGAATGTGTATATATGAGGCTTACTCCGCGGATGTAGCCATGACTATATGGTAACTAGCTCACATGCCTCTTGCTTCTTGTGGGTAAAGGAAGACGGTTTGGGTGAAAATACTTGTGACAAAATTAATGGAAATATTACAAGGTGCTAGTCTGAGTTCTTAAATGAACACAAAATACCCATTTATGGCCTAAGCCTGATAGACAGAGCTAATATGACACAAAGAGCAAAGACAATAACACGGCACATTGTTGAAGAAGAGCCCCGTCAAAGTCAATTGATTACAAACTCCATCAAAACACGAGGGAAGATTGACAAGCACAAGGCCAATGGAAGAGATTCCTTGCTCACTTATCGCTTGTGAGAAGGTCCTTAACATTTTATTTGCTCAACCTGTTTGTATTTGTAGTAGTGTTTCTTTTTACTGCTCCATAGCCTTTAGAATTGAAAGTATTACTGTACAGAGAACAGATATTGTTTGTGGAGGGGCGGAGTTTGGCCACCATCTTAATGGCCACCATCTAGGGAAGCTCCTGAGACTTGGGGCCAATTTTGTTTAACAACTATTTTTTTCAAACGAAAATCAACTTTTTAAAGTACATATATCTGTCTAAGAAGTCCTGCTCAACATGCAGAAACAAAGAAGTACCGAGCAAAATGTTCCTGCAGCAAAAAAGATCGATAAAACTACAGCGGGGGTGAGTAAAGGCATGCCAGCCCACTCACGTTCCCTGTCCCACTCAGTAGCCCCGTGGCTTATTTCGCCAGGAAAATCTTCATTGGTGGCAGGGGAGAAACAGCCACCCTCCTCCCATACCCTGTCTCATGCCCGTTCATATGCTAGTGCGGCCGGGACCCGCTCGCAGAGATCTGAGAGCGGCGGGGTCGCGGCCGCACACACAGCGACTTCTGGGGGGTCTGAAAACCGCTCCGAGCATTTGATCAGCTCGGAGCGTGTGTATTCAGCTCCCGCGAGCGGAGCAAATGTGGATAATAGCCGCTCTGGGCTCACATGCAATGCAGTCCGGTCCCTAGCGTATAAAGGAGACCGGGCTGAGGATGAAGGGGTGGGCGGTAGGAGGTCCCGATCCCCGTCGTGGTCCTCTGCCTCACGGCAGTCAGACTTGACGGGAGGGACCTCTCCCACTCGTTCTCCTCACACAGTTAGTGTTAAAGGGGCAGCAGAGAGCCTCAATGTGCATGAAATGGAGGAAGACTGTTATAATGTGCCCCAAACTTTTCATCATATGGTCAGCAACACCGACACCACTAAAATGGATGACAGCATGACTCCAGCTCTAGCCATACTTAAGATGGCCACCAATACAGCACATACCACCAATGTTACAACTAGGATGGCCACTACTCCTTCCAAGACAACTTCTACTGGTTTCAAGACTATGACCTATAACCCTCACATGCCATTGGAAATGGCCGTGGATTTACCACTGTCGGCTGGTTTAATTATCCTACGTGTGGACTTAAAAAATGATCTCAAAAAAAATTTTGATAACATGTATGGGATTCTGGAGAACATTGGTCAACGCACGGAGGCCGTTGAACACAGATTATCTACACAAGAATCCGCTCATTTAGAACTGGAAAAAACTGTTAAGGAGCTTTAAAAGCAGGTTAACCAGCAGGCAGAGAGAATAGCTGACTCTGAGGACAGGAGCAGGCGCAACAACGTTAGAATCAGGGGGATCCCTGACACTGTAAATATGTCTGAATTGTTGAACTATTTCCAAACTATGGTCAAAACAATTCTACCAGAGGCTGCTAATCTGGATTTACTAGTAGACCGCATCCATAGGCTACCTAAATCTAACAAGGCACCAGCAGCAGCACCAAGGGACACCATAGCAAGACTCCACTTTTCTACATAAAAGTAGTACTACTGGGTACTATCCGCACATCAGGTCTTCCTGACGAATACAAAAACATTAAGATCTTTCAGGACTTCTCAGCATACACAATGAGACGTCGCAGGGAATTCCAGCACCTTACAACTGAACTGAGACAAAGAGGGATACGCTATAGATGGGGATTCCCTGCAAAAGTTCTCTTTAATATGGATGGTCGAAATTTCACGATTGCCACACCGGAAGAAGGGTCGGAATTCATCAAAACTATCAACAGAAGGCAGTCTCTATCCCGCGCTCTTTCACCATCAACCCCACAGCATGCTCATAAGAAAAGCAAGGCAAATGACACTTGATCATTGAAGGTCTTGGCTTACAAACTGCCAGGCTTTTTTCTTCACAACGTACTGGACGTACTTCCTCTTCTGTTAAAGAATTTGTTTTCATATTTCTAATTTCTCTCTTTTTGCTTTTCTACCCCGTGCCAACTAACGTTTCTGCAAAATGGTATTACTTTTATCCTAACACTGGGATAGGTTAAAGCAGTAGGAAACTCACTTTCCTTTTCTCAGTACCACATCAGTCTGCAGGAAATTATTTCTTTTTTTTTCTCCTCTTGTTATCCTGCCCTAACGATTATCTATTTCAGCAGAGACTTAGGATTGGAAGGACTTGTTTTATTTTTTATCTATTTTTTATATATTCGACAATTTTTCAGTTTAATTGTAGTATTTTAGTTTTGATAGAAACATACATCGGCCCCCTGGTCTCAGGCAGCCTTCCCTCCCCTCAACCTGGGCCTAATACCCTGAGAAGGAGAAATATTTTTTATTCTCCCTCATGGCCCTATTCTTATTTAAGGTTATTTTTTCTCCCCTTATAGGGGAATTTACCCAAGTTTATCACCCCTTTTTTTTTTTTTATTCCATCCACTTTTTTATACACTGTAAACAATTTAAGAAGTTACCAGGTTCTGCCTTAATTGCTTTAGCAAATTCACTCTTGTTTAAACAAAAATATTTGTTGTTACGATTGTTGGATCTCATAACTCTACTCTTGGGACACGGGCCTTCAGGCTCCCACATTTCCATATACTCTCCTTTTAATGACCGTGCACTCTGATTTGAGTCATGGTCATTAAACTCATGTCATTTAATGTGAGGGGCTTTAACACCGTTCACAAGAGGCCATTATTGTTTAAAGAAGTTAAATCCAACAAATCGGATATTTTTTTTTTTTTTTTTTTAAATTCTTTATTTTTTATTGTGCGTTGAAAGAAATACATGCAAGCTCGTGGTGCCCCAACAGCATTCCTCGAGCATATTTTCAAGCATAACAGTAGGAGCAGTAAAATAATCAGCACATTTTTGTATAACAACAGTAGCTTAACATTAATATTCGGTTTGACTGCGTTTTTGCATGGTTGAGAACCCAGTATCGGCCCGCGTTTACGGCCACAGTTAGCTATATATTAAATGGCGTCCAAAGACTTCCGTGTGGCTAGGCTATCTAGCTCTGCCTCAGGTTTGGGAGCATCAAAACAATCCTGCATCGCCTTTATGCCATGCTGTACAATAGAGGGCTTGTGTGGGCCCGCTCGGCTAGTGCCCTTTTTTCGGCCGGCTATTTATTCTGGATAAATTAGTGGCATGGTGGTGGCTGAAATAGTGTGTCCAGCATTTCTGAGGGCTGGGCTCATACATTTATGTTCAGACTTAGGGTGCTATTCCTGCTAGGCTTATGAGACACAATCTTATACATTGCATGATATTAGCTAATAGAGTACATCACATGTCTGAGTTACTGCATTATTTACTTTGATGTAGATTACATTACCCAAACCTAAGCAGACACAGAGTTGGGTATTCAATGGTAGACTTCTAATCGCAGGTTAATCCTGCTGAGAGAGGTTATGGGCACTTATGCAGGTTGAAGCGATGCAAGAAAAGGAAAGTGCTTAAGAAATCATATAACATGGCAAATCTGGTACAGATAAAATTAAACAAAAGTATGAACAATGTACACGCTGAGTGTGGATGTCGGAGCCTTATTCTGCTGACTGTTACAATGTCCCGTGAAGAGGTTAATTGTATAGAGGTGGCTCCAGCTCCACATGTCACTCTGGTTGATCCCTTTCAGCCTATGCCCACAGGGTATACCGGACTGTCCAGCATGGTGGTGCCTCGCCAGGCAGCGGCTCTCTCAGTTGGTGGGGAGATGTCTTGCCCCGGACGGCCTGGGGAGCGGCTCAGAGGTGGCCGCGGTGGTTTCTCCATGTAGCCCAGGACAGGTGGCAGTACGTTGGGGTTCGGTACATCACGGCAGCGGTGGGCAGGGTACCTGTCCGCGGCTCGCTGTCTCAGCCGGTAGTGTTGTTTCCGCGGCTTCCGTCGCTTTAGTGTAGTCGGAGTAGTGTGGGGTAGCTGTCGGCCCATAAGAGGCCTCCCAGGCCGCTCCTTATTTCTTACACTGTCTTCCTGACCGGGCTCCCGTGTGGCTATTGCTTGCCTTGAACGGTTGAGCAGCATGGCCCAAAACTTGTCGATTATGGCTCCCAGAGTGTCCATTACTTTGGTCTTAGGGCCTGCTGAGACAGGTTGTGGCAGTATCAGACCTCGTGTTGTAGAGCGTGGTGCCTCCGCCATCTTGAGTGACTCCCTTCCCGTGTGGCTAGGGAGGTTTGCAGGGCTCACAGAAGCGTCCGCGACTGAGGCAGCTTGGGTTCTCGAGGACCGGGATAACCCCCACCGGTCCAGAGGGGGGGGAGGGAGGTGATTTGGGAGTGCTCCCTTGTCAGCCAGAGAACCGGGAGAGCGGCCGTCTCTCCTCGGCTCCCACCCGCACAGGCCGCAGGTCACGATTTGGTCCACCCAGCACCGGAGAGCCAAGTGTCGGGTATCTCCGGTTGCAGTGCAGTCTCCTTGTCACGATTATTGCGTTGAGCAGTCGATGTGATCAGGTGGTCGGGTGTAAGACCCCGAATCTCGGCTCCAGACTCAGGAGCTCTCGACATGTACGTCTAGTCCGCTTGTTAGTCAGGCTCCGCCCCCAAAATCGGATATTTTATGCATTCAAGAGTCTCATCTTAAGGAAGGAAAAGAGTACAATTTTATGACACGGTTATTCCCATCCCAATTTCAGTCTATCTTTTTTAGTAGGAAGGTGGCCACCAGATAAGATACTGATGGATGATGACGGCAGATACATACTGTGGGTCGGTAAAGTTAACAACGTTTTATATACAATTGTCAATGTTTATTTCCCCAACACAGGTCAGCTAACTTTTTTTAGGAAAATAATGGAATTGGTGAATGAGAACATGAAAGGGATTTTAGTGATGTGTGGAGATACGAACTTCGTTATGGACGGTGACTTAGATAATGCAAGGGAAAATCTAGACACAACCCGCACGAGAGACAGTGACAGGCTAGCTGTGAAATGCTCGAAGTATATGGTTGAATGCGGATTGTATGATCCATGGAGATTATTACATGAGAATGAGAGAGATTTCACTTACTACTCCATATCCAAGAACATGTATTCCAGGCTAGACAGGTTCATGATACAGTAATACAAAATAATAGTATACACGCTGTGAAGGACAAATAAATAGCTCTAAAACACCTAAAAAGTGGCAACCCTTACACCACTATAAACATAATACAATACATACAGAGTTATAGGTGGAGCTGTAAGGTTTCTTGAACAATCTGAAAAATAGAATATATGCAAATAGCGTAGTATATCTATACAATGTATTGCATATAAAAAGTAAGAATAGTTAAACTCACAAGGCTAGAGTCATACCGTCATATGACTCTAAAAGTATGCTCCCTTGGACCATTAGGGGGTTGTCCAAACCCTTCTTTCGTTGGTTTCTTGTTATTCCCCCTGGTGATCTTTAGTGTGTCTTCAATAAAGGTGCCCAGTATACCAAGGATCTTTGAAAACCAGTCAATGTGCTGTCACTCCCCGTGCTGCTCTATGAGGACACTGGGCACTAGGTATGTGCGGCCTGGCAGTGCGGTAAGTAGCCCCGGAGCCCGTGTCTCACCAGTCTTCAGGTTCATGATACAGGGCACTCTCATATCACACATCTCAAGATCTGATATTTTAGATATTAATTGGTCTGACCATGCTCCCATAACTTTGCATATAGATGAAACGGTTTTTTCCTCCCCCAACAGACAGTGGAGGCTGAGTGATTATTTGTTAGACGATCCTGAAAACAGATCGCTCGCTGAGGGGGTACTAAATGATTATTTTTTGGACAATGTTTCGCATGAGGTTCCTGGCAAGGTGACATGGAATGCGCACAAGGCTGTGATGAGGGGTCATTTCATTTCTAGGGCATCTCACTTGAAGAAAAATAATAACAACAATTTAAGAAACTTGGAAAAAGAACTGTATAACTTAAATCAGGCTAATACATTCGGTCCATCTTCTTCCCTATCAGCAATGATAAGGGAGATTAAATCAAAAATACATAAAATAAATATAGATAGAACTACTCTCATGGTGAGACGCCTCAGGAAATTGTTTTATTTAAAAGGTAACGAGGCCTCAACTCTCCTAGCATCCAAACTCCGGCATGTAATTGCCCAATCAAAAATTTCACACTTAATAGATGACCAAGGACAAAAAATATTCCACCCGAATAAGATTAGCGATCAATTCGCAAAATATTATAGCGAACTTTACAATTTGAAATCTGACCTGAACCTCACCCAGCCATCTGAGGCGTCTATTAATAATTTTTTAGA